CTTCTAATCAGAGAGTAGTCAGATTTCTTAGAACACAGAACTTTAAAAAACAGATAAAATGGACTTCATCAAAAGCAAACACATTTGTTAAACTAAAACCTTAAGAAAAGGAATAGGCAAGGGGACAGGGAGAAAATATTTGTAATAAATATATCTAACAAAGAGCTTGTATCTAGAATATAGAGGTGATTCCTACAATTCAATGATAATAAGGCAAGCCAATTTTAAAAATAGATATAAGACTTGAACTTCAGATAGGAAGACATATAAGTAGTCAATAAGCATATGAAAAAATGTGCAACATCATTAGTCATCAGGAAAATGCAAATGATATCAGGAAAGGCCACAATGATATATATATCACTATAGTCTTTATAGAATGGGCAAACTAAAAAAAACTGGCAAGTCCAAATTTTAGCAAATATTGGAGCAACTGGAATTTTCCTACATAGCTGGTGGGAATGCAAAATGATTCCGTTCCTTCAGAATACAGTTGGGCAGTTATTTATAACATTAAGCCTTTACTTACCATTTACTCCAAATGTAAGCAATCCCAAATGTAAGTTTGAAAAAGGATTTGTAGCATATGTTTATAGCAGCTTTATATAGAAACAGCCCTAAACTGGAAACAGCCCAAATATCCATTAATAGAAGAATGGATAAACAAATTGTGGTATATCCATACAAGGAAATATTACTTGGCAATAAAAATACTAATACATGGATGAATCTCAAAAACGTATGTTATAATACCATGAGAATCTATAATTATCTTAATAGAAATTTCAATTAAAAACCATGTTAAGCAAAAGTCAGACACAAAAGAGTACATACTGTATGTTATTTATATGAACTTTTAGAAAAAAAAAAAACAAAAGTAATTTATGTTGAAAAATATCAGAACACTTGTAGCCCCAGAATGGGAGGAAGTTGACGGGGATGTGGCCCAAGGGGACTTTCTGGGAAATTATTCTACTTCTTGATTGGGGTGTTGGTTATACAGGTCTGTGCATTGTGAAAACTCGTCAAACTATACAATTGAAATTTGTACATTCTACTGTATGTAAATTATACTTTAATTTAAAAGAAAAGGGATGTTTACATCTTTATTTAATTTGCGAGTTAGATTTTATTTTCATTAAATCCATATAAGGCCCAACTCTTTGTCTGGGAAGCCTTGTAAAAGAAATCTATATATTTGGAAGTCAATTTCTCATCTTCCTTTTGCTTTTCTTTCCCTTCCTCTTCCTTCTGAAAACCAGAAGAATGTGAGAGAAAGTGGTGACCGTTGTAAGCAAAACTATAGCTAAAAACTTGCTTCAGAATGTTCTGTCGCTTGGACCTTATGCAGGCCCATAATTTGAATGTGTGACTCTTAGAAATGGTTGCTATGGTGATAAACCACTTTACTTAGATAGCACATATTTTACTCAAAATTCAGAGAAATGGTAACAGTTTCTAGTAATCATGCACTGGTGTTAGCTTTCAGGGCTATACCCGGAGCTTGCAGATTTTGTATCCATTTTCACCAGATGAGTTCATTTAGTAATCATGCACTGGTGTTAGCTTTCAGGGCTATGCCCGGAGCCATTTTCACCAGATGAGTTCATCAGGTTAAAGTTATGCTAGTGAATAATGAGATATGTATATTCAGCCCAGTTTTCTTGGTACTTATCTCCCTTTGCACACATGGACCCCCCCTTTTCAAGATTAGTAATATGAGCTGGAGAAATCAGGCCAAGGGCTCTGAATTACTAAAGGATGGAACTGAAGGGAACCTTGTAAGGTCATCCTTGCCATCATTCTGCCTCCAGTAGTCCTGACTATTCTTCAACATTCCCAAATGGTAAGACTGTCAAAATGAGGAACAATTGAAATGCTGCTTGGGGCAGCCCCTGGTGTAACCATCTTGACTACAGCACTCACAGATGCTGTCTTGCTCCAGTGCTGAGATCTTCCCCATTCTTCACTTTGCAGATTGTGATTGGATATGCCCTCTAATTCTTTACATTTTTAGACCGAAGAACTCTCTTATAAAGAAACCTCCACCCATTAATCCTATAAATAGCCTTTTTGTAAACCTTCTTTCATCTTTTATATCTGTTCAAGCTGGTTGCAGTGTTTCAGATGTGAATTCTTCCTGATAAGGATAAAATAATTTTTTTCTTGATTTTTTAAGGTGCTTGCCAATGATAGCCAGGTTTTCTTGGTCACTGTGTAGTAGTATGACAGTATCTTCAGAGAATAGTCTACAATGATTTTTAGATCCTCTCAATTGGATTGGTTGGTGATGGCCCAGTTTCATAATGTTT